TATTGTGGAAGACGCCAATTTGGTGAAAGAAATCAGAGATCAAAATCGAGCCCATATAAAAAGAGTTTATAATGCTTTGGTGGAATTGGATTCAGAAACAGAATTAGTTAAGGATTGTATGGTTAAGTGGGCTCAAAATTTTGAAGAGCCGATTCTATTAGATACATGGGAGATAATTTGGGTTAGGAATGTTAAGTTTACCCAAGCTCAAAATTTATGAGAAAATTTTTATAAAATGTTTTATAGATTGATCCACAAAAGATGTCTTGTATGTTTTCTAATTTACAGCCCAAATGTTGGAGATGTGGTTGTATGGATGCAACTTATTATCATATTTGGTGGTCTTGTAGAAATATAAAGGCTTTTTGGATCAAGATTTGGTGGAATATTCAAAAATTTTTTAATAGAAAGATAAAATTCACACCACAATTATTTTTGTTAGGTATTATTGAAGATTGTGATGGTAAAGAGATTATTTTAATGTTGAATTTTATTATGGCAGCAAGGTTATTGATTGGGCAATATTGGAGAAAAGACTCCTTGCCTACCTTAGAGGAATGGTTTTTTAAAGTTTCTTATTTATCAGAAATGGCAAAAATATCGGCTTATCTGAAAGACCATTCACAAGAGAGATATAACTCTGTATGGAAAAGATGGGTAAATTTTGTTCAGAACAAATATGGGATTAGAAAGTATTATTTAGCTTTTGAATAACTTATTGTATAAAGTTGTTATGTTTAGATTTGTTGATTTTATTGTAATGGAGTTAAAGGGGTTTAAAAACTTTTTAGGATTTATGTACAATTGTTTGATATTTATTTAATTTTTTATGTTTTTGTTGTTGTTTTTAGCTCTGTATTCAGCTCTGGGAAGGGGGGGAGGGTTAGTGGGAGGGGGAGGGAGAGAAGTGGGGAGGGATTTTATTGTAAAATGTTTATAAAAATTTCAATAAAAAAAGGTTAAACAATCCAGTTTAATGTTGAATTCACAGTAACAGATAGTGAGAGACCAGAATAGATGTGCTTTTCCCATATCCTTATTCTGTAGCCTTTGAGATCTAAAAAAAAAAATGTCCTTTGCTTCAGCAAGTGAAGTTAAATAGGCACTGATGTTTTTGAATACCAATTTATGTTAATGCAGCCTGCACTGGCTCTCATTATACTAATCATCATCCTCATAACAAAATGTATTAAACACCAGACAACCTGTGCATCACTGGGTAATCGTTTCAGAGATATTTCCTTACCTGAACAGAGAAACAGAATGACCACAGGTGGACAGATAAGAGTGTGAGTGGGAGCAATTTCCTGTGAGCTTCCCCATTGAGTTTTCTTCTGGGAAGCTGGCAGGGAGTATCAGAGACCTTTTTTCCTTCCTTCCTTCCTTCCTTCCTTCCTTCCTTCCTTCCTTCCTTCCTTCCTTCCTTCCTTCCTTCCTTCCTTCCTTCCTTCCTTCCTTCCTTCCTTCCTTCCTTCTATCATTTAATAGTGTCACTTTCCATCATCGTGGAGTATACCCATTCTCAGTTTTACACTCTCTTGAGGATCTATGAAATAAATTTCAATAAGTTTTACTTGCTGGTTGGAGTCTGGCATTAAATCTTTGATTTAATGATTCCTGGTTGGAATGACTTCTTTGGCACCAAAGAACTCATTTGCAGTAGGCTCACCACTGCTATAATAAATTGAGGAGTACATTAGGTAAAGATTACAAACTGTCCATCCTGGCCATATAGTAGAAATTGGTGGTTTGTCCAGGGAATAGGAATGCATGAAAATGAGCTCAGACTTTGGCATGGCACCAACATCAACATAAATATCGTGCAACTCTTGTTTTTTGCCTAGCTCTTTCTCTGTTGTGGTCTTGTTGAAGGTGGGTATTATGTTGAGGATCTCTTACAGTAATTCGTATTTGCCACATATTCTTGAGTTAATTTTCCCTTTCCTCCTCCATCTTCTCTTGTCACCTCATTCTGTGCTTGTCTTTGTGTTCTGGAAATATGCAGCCCTTTCATCCTCTGTTTGTTCATCTCTCCTCTTCCTTTCAGCATCCTGACAATATTTGGTGTCAGACATAACGTCTACCCTCTCTTTCCACATGGCCTAATTATACTGATGAAATTTTCTTTTCTTTTCTTTTCTTTTCTTTTCTTTATTTTATTATTTTTCCACAATATTGTAAATTGCCACTCTTGTCTCAGAACAAGACAAGAATGTTTGGAATCCCTGCTAGCTTCTCTCTTGAATTGTAGAAAGCTGTCAGAGATAGTTTAAAAATAGAATCACATGATCTCCTGAGGGCTAGGCTGGGACCGGTCTACTTTATCTCCAGTTGCCAATAGAGGGGCTGGTCTACACTTAGTTTCAGAGTAGGAAGTGATTGAAAAATGAAGTGGGATGGGCAAGGACTAAGGTATAGTGGCTAATGTATTTGACTGACCACACAAAGATTCAGTTTCTACTCCATCTGCACCACAGCAGCTCACTTGGTGACTTTTAGCCCAATTTACCTCACAGGGTTATTGTGAAGAAATATTGAAGGATGGAGCACCATGTATGTGCTTTGAGTTCCTGAACAAAGATGGGATATAGATACATGTGCGTGTTTGTGTGTCAGAGAACGCTCCCCTGAAGCAATACAAATGTCTAGCCTTTGTTCTTTGTTACTTTGTTAAGGGCCACCTTAACCTCTTTGCTGCTGAATGGTGGTGAGAAGCAAGAGATTGGGAGACTTCCAGGAAAACTCATAGAAAGCTCAGGAAGACTATCATTTAACTACAGCAGCAGCAGCCTGAAGTGGCCATAACTTTCCCAATTCCTCTAGATTTTGGATGCATTCTATATGTTAGCCTATTTGAGATACCTTGGTTCAGAAATTGCTGCCCTATGATGCACTGTTTCACCCAGTTAATGGCAATGACAGTGAGAGCTTTAGTAGTATATAGATGTTCCCCAGGAATTTATTTAGAGAAACTAACAGAAATGTGAAACTAATATGTAAATAATTAAAATGTACATCTCTATCTACATCTACCTCTAGATCAGGGATGTCAAACTCACCACTTCACATGACGTGTTGCGACGTATTACAATTTTTCCCCCTTGCTAGAGCTGGGGTAGGCGTGGCTTTCGCGTGATGCATTCAGCCTGTGGGCCGGCAATTTGACACCCCTGCTCTAGATGATTTTAATCTATCACCATAGTGCATATGAAACACTCTGTTTTCAGCTCTTTTGTATGACTAGTTGATGCTTGAATTCTCCCTATTGTCTGCCTCAAACTGACTTCACTATAAAATCTAACAATTTTATAAATACATTTTATTGCATTGGTTTTGGTAAGGGAATTCCACAACAGTGGAAATAAATATTTTTCTCCACTTCCATCTGAATTAAAATCAGAGTCAGACACTTATTTGTAGTGTGAATTTCACTTGTTAATGTGACATCAATAACCTTCTGTCATTCAGCTTTAAGATGGCCCCCTGTAACACCTGTATAAAGTGAAATGAAATTATCTTTCAGTGCAAGTGTGAAAATATAACTCCCCCCCCCAGTCTTTGGCACCAATAACTTTCACACATTCTGGGTAACTGTTTTGAATTCCCACATGTATTATGATTCACGGAAGAGGAATAAAAAATACTTAAACATTTTAAGTCATTATTCCTATCGTAGAATCAACTCTCCCTAAAATAAAATTTCCATAACTTCTCTCCCCACCAGCTATAGTTTTGTTTATTTGAAGAAGCTTACACTCAAAGGAAGGGAACATGGTAATTGCATTTTGTAGTGAATTATTTACAGCATAACAAGAATGCAAACCATCAGTGGATCTCTGCTAGATAAGGCCACAAGAGTATCCTAGTGAAGCATTTTATTGATTACTGGAGTTAACTAGAAGCTTTTGAGGTGGTTTATCTTTCTCTCATCATTGCTGTCCTGAAACTGAGATTCAAAGGCAAGCTGCTTCCAACTAGAGAAAATGAAAACCCTTCCAAATGTCCATCCAGCCTGCTTTTAAAGCCATACATATTACAGCCATCATCATGTCATATGGCAATCCTACAGTTTAATTTCCTCCTCTGTGAACTAGTGTTTCTTAGATATGTTTTAGATTGCCTTCCAATCAGCTTCACTGAATCACCCTGATTGTGGTATTTTGACTGAAAGCAAACATTAATTTTCTTCAACCCATACATGATTTTATACACCTTAATCGTGTTCTTCTTAACTCCTGTATTTCCATTTCTAGCCTTTTCTGCTAGCTGTTTGTAGAGGAGGGCAACCAAAACCTAATAATTTTGATTGTCTTCTGTATTTTTTTCCAGTTCTATTAATATTTTTAAAGACATTTTATACAATACTTTGGCAGAGAACACTCCACAATAGAAAGGCATTTTTATTTTCAAGCCTTAGAATTGAATTTGTCTTTTTTAATTACTGCTACAGACTGAGTTGACATCTTCACTCAGATATATTCCTGGATCCAAATGACTTTTTCCTTGTTAGTTAGCGATAGCTCACATCCCATTCCTTTGTGACACTCAGGGATTTTTGGCCAATATATGTTATTTTATTCTTAAATAAAATTACATTTGTCATTCCATTTGGTTGACCTTCTGGAGGTTTTTGCCTGAATAGTATAGTATAATTTGCAAACTTGACCAGTTCACTGCTTGATTTTAAATCAAGATTATTTTTAAATAGGTTTGAAAATACTGGTCATAACATAGATTCCATCTTAACTCCTCCATGAGAAAATTGCTCATTCATTCTTAGGCTTCATTTTTTTTTAACCATTATCAATGGGCATGTCCTCTTATCCTACAATGCTTAATTTTACTTAAGAGCCTTTGATGAAGAGTTTTGCCTTTTTGGAAATTTAAGTGTACTATATTACCAAGGGCATTTCTATCCCTGTTCACATGCTTATTGACCCTTGTAAAAAGTTGTTCATGCAGGACTTATCTTTGATTTTCCTTCAGAAATGACTACTTACCTTATCTGGGATAATCATTTTTATCAAGTTCCCTATTCAGATAATTCTCACTGAGCAATCACTCATTCAGCAACTATTCAAAGCTATGAAAGCACTGAATGAGGAGGGGGACTTCTGACAGGTCCTCATAGTTGCTGGCCATATAATTGCAGTTTGGGCACTTAGCAACCAGCTCACAATTATGACATCACAGAGTCCCACAGTTTCATGATCACCATTTACAGTACAAATGACAAGTAAACTCAGTGGGGAAGCCCAAAGAAAATTGAAAATGGTGAGCATGTGATCTTGGGATGCTGCAATTGCATAGGATTCACCTAATGATGTTAGCTGAAACTGCTGCAACAACCATTATAAGTTGGTGTGGTAAGTGACATGGTACTTTACAACTGCATCACTTAGTGATGGAGTTACCAGTCCCAATTACCATAATTAAGTGAGGACCTCCTGTAATTTTATGAAACTTCTCTAATTCTCTTTCTTACATATTGGTGTCATATTGGCTACCTTCCAGTCCCCTGGACCTGAAACTGACTTGAATGACAATTTACATATTTTTCCTAGAAGTTAAGCTTTTCACATTTTAGTTATTTAAGAATGTTCAGGCAGATATTCCAAGTATGTGGTAATTTGTTATAGTATAATACCTTAAGATTTTCTACAACAGGGGTGTCAAACGGCTGGCCCATGGGCCGGATGCGTCATGCCAAAACCGTGCCCACCCCATTGCTGGCAATAGAAAAAATGTCATGATACGTCGCAACATGTCATGTGATGCTGCGAGTTTGACACCCCTGTTTTACAATGTCTCCTCCTGTTACCTCAAATAGTCTTAATTGTTCTGATTTCTTCCCTGAAAAAATCAGTACAAAATGAGATTTGTCTTCTATCTTTGACAGTAAAGACAAATGCAGAGAATTCAATTATGTGCAATCTCTATATCCTCCTTGAGGATACTTTTTTCTGCTTTGTCATCTAATGGCCAAACTTGACTATTTCTTTCTTTCATATTTATGTTAAAATTACTTATTGTTTTCCAACCTTTTATTTATTTATTTATTTATTTATGAGACTTATATACCGCTTTAAGTGCAAGCACTCTCTAAGCAGTGTACACCAGTAAGCAATGTATATATATATTTACATTGCCCCCAACAATCTGGGTCCTCATTTTACCTACCTCAGAAGGATGGAAGGCTGAGCCGGTGAGATTTGAACCGCTGACCTGCTGAACACAGTCAGCTAAAGTGGCCTGCAGTACTGCACTCTACCTGCTGCGCCACCTCGGCTCATTTTCCCCCTAAGAGTTCCTCAAATTCTTTCTCAACTTTCACAGCTTCTTTGACCTGATTAAAAAACCATACTGGCTTCTTTCTGAATTTGATTTAAGTCTGCCTTCCATTATGGAATCCCATTTGCATTTATTCATTCCCCAGAGGAGTATCCTATGATTTGATCCCTCTTATAGAAACATCTCTGATCCTCAGATTGAAGTCCTCCTTCCCCAAGACCCAAGCAAATGCTCATCCTGGAACTGGGGCAAAGTAATTACATCTGGAATGTCTCTGCTACATATTTCTTTAGCTGTCTCAGCATCTCCAGGGCACTTCTCTTGGTTTCAAGGAAAAGGATTTCCTAAGATTTGGAAGCTTCGTGAGCAAGACTAATCTATGACTTATGCCTAAATGGCATATCATCATACATTTACATTATGTGCAGTAAATGGGAACATATTTCCCTCTTTACTGATCTTCTATCTTCATAGAGTTTATTGTGTATCCTTTTTTGTAAACAATTCAACTTAAAATATTATATCTGTATTATGTAGTAGTTGCAGAGTCTATTGTGAATACTTCAAATTGTCCAAGATCTACTTTAGTTTGTCATCAGTAAATCCAAAACTTTATAAGTGAATTTCCAGAAGTTCCCACCCAAGAGACCATGTGTGACTTGACATTTTTATGAAAACGGAAGAGAGGTGGATATTAAAAGGTTTTAATGACCAGCATTGATCAAGCTGAAGCTTGAGAGTTAGAGCTATTCTGCAGTAGCTAGAATGACTGAAGCAACTGTTTTTAGTCTTTTTCATAAGAAGTAAAAGCACACGGCTTCAGATACATACTTTTCTAAACTGGATGAAAGAGAGTTTTGAAAATCGCAGCCCTCAACATTCTTTGCTAACTAGCAAAGATACTTAACTTTGCCAGTACAAATGTCAAGGAGCAAGGCACTTAGCAACCAGCCTGCAAGCTATTTTTGAAGCACATGTATATGCGCTTGTGTACCCATACCCACACAGTATATATAAGTATGTATACACACACACACACGCACAAATAGAATAGAATAGAATAGAATAGAATAGAATAGAACAGAATAGTTATTTATTAGACAAATGTCATTGGACACACAAGGAATTTGTCTCCAGTGCATAAGCTCTCAATGTATATTCAAACAACAAAGCAATATAGCCATAAGGTATCAATAGGATAAGGTAGAGGGATAATAGTAATACAGCCCTACTACATGGGTAAATATCCTTAGACATAAGACAGTCCTATGGGAATTAGGTGTTTAGTAGAGTGATGGGATGAGGGAAAAACTGTCTTTGTGTCTAGTTGTTTTGGCATGCAATGTTCTATATAGTGTAAACTTATATACTGTATATATTTATACATATATACATATATACACACATATACATATTGTATGAATATATGTGTGTGTGTGTGTGTGTGTGTGTGATTTTCTAAAACATTTCCTTATTTTAAGACTTGGATTTTAAGAGGCATTACCTCTAACCTTTGGTTAATTAGCACATTAAGAAAAGTTGTCAAATGTCAATAGAACAGCCCATTGAATGAATTTGTCCTTTTTTAAATAAGTCCGTCGGCTCTTGTTCTCTCAACATATTGCTTTGAAGAATTAGAGTTCCATTTCCACACAATAATTAGTGTGGAAGTGATTGCACATGACTTTGTCCTACATGTTTCACATTTTCCTCAAAGGAAGTCTAGTTAGCAGAATCCATTTACTGAAAATGTAGCAGCCAAATCCATATGATGCCAAGCGGGTACCTGTTTCAAGTAATGAGTATTTTGTGTTCAAATTCAGGCAAAATCTTGCATGTTACCATTTAAATTGAAATGAATAATAGTAACCACATAATCAGCTGATATTAATATTCTTGAAAAAGGCAGGACCTTGAAAATCATCAATGGGTGTAATAATAGATTTAATTTTCAAATAAATTATCGTGTCATTTAAATCTACAAATGATTATGATTTGAAAAGTTAAGAACACTTAAATGAAAGTATTTTCCACAGCATTTAAATTGATTATAACAATGCAAAATAAATTTGCAGTGAAATTTTACTGAAATCAGTAAACGTTATAGTATTGCATACTTCTCAATAATATAGCTGAATTTCATCTAGGAATTAGAATAAAATCTTTGGTCTAGAGCTGCACTAGTCATTATATTGAATAAGATACAGAGCAGGTAACCCAAGTAAATCTAGAAGAATTGCCCTAAAAAGATTAACAAATTTCACAGCAGTGTTTCTGCTCAGATTTGTACCAGAGTTCTTTAAAATTTCCTCCAATTCACATTACTTTGATGGATTATTTTTGTAAAATGACATTCTAGTAATCTTGATTAATCTCTTTAAACTGCCAGGCATCCATAACTGGATAGTTCCTAAAGCTTATGTAGTACACACAGTCACCCAAATCCAATGATCCATAAATTCAATTCCCAATCCACATTTGAGATTCCCAATAAGGATGAAACAAGCAATGTGGCATTTCTTGAAGCCTAATGTATTGAAAATGCCACACAAAATATAGACTATGTAAAAATAGAGAAATTTGCCTATCTGCAAAAGAGATGATGGTACATGTTAAGTCCTTCCAATAATGGCGAATGATGAAGACACATCTTGTAAGGAACAACTCTTTATTTTGTTTTCAGCCAAAACACCAACAATGAACAAAGGCACGCAGGCCTCTTTTTATATGACCAGATCCCAAGACACAATGGCAACAAAACAGGTGCTTTTCGCAGCCTTGCGCATGCGCGCAAAGCCGGCACTGCTCAGTCTGGTCCCGGGCAGCTTCTGCAATGCCCAGGACCATTGCAATGTCCCGAGCCTGCATTTGCAGGCTTAGGACACAACAGTAGAAGTCATGTAAAATCTCATACTTAGAGGTAAGATATAATGTAATTTCGGTATCTGTAGCTTCAAGGAAGGTAGGCTCCATCTGGAATCTAGAATTTAGAACCTTCAAGAGTAGTATAAGCCACCATATTTTGTATTGCTTTTCCTATCATGTATGTCCTTCAGATAGTGTTGAACATCTACCTGGAGAGATGCTGCTAGTCAGTAAATAATATTGAATTACATTTGATAAACTAAGAAATATAAAGAGATTACCTATACTTGTGTCATTTGACAATCCCATAACAGTTACATCTGAGAAGTGGAGGATATTCTGGAACACTGGAGCATCATATGGAATATTCAGCTGGGTACTGAGATATGTATTACTCTAACCCTGAAAGTTTCACTTGGATCACAAATCTTGAATGGTAGCATCTGATAAGCATTTCTTCTCTGCAATTTCTCTTCCTCTTTAACTGCCTTCTAAAGCCTTTGGCAGTTATGCCAAACATTAAAGCTATGCATCTTGTAAAATAAACCCAGATGTATTTAATTTTATTAGCTTTATACTCCAAATTTTCATTTAGGAGCTCAAAGCAGCATACAGAATGCTCCCTCTTCCTTGTTTTTCTGAAAATAACCTTATGAGGTAGGTTGTGCTCTGTGGGAAGGACTCACCCAGAAAACCTCTGTGGATGAAGGTGCATTAGAAACCTAATATTTTTACTGATCATCTCCTAATTTTCCATGCAGTGAATCATAGCAGTAGGATGAAATGGCAAACATTTAGGACTCTGTTCAACAGATAAAGCAGCTTTTATTATTATGACACCTTTCATTCATTACAATTATTTGCATATTGTACATCAGCTTAACAATTCTCCCAAAGCAGCTTGCCAGCTACTATGATAAACAACACAATGTAAAAAAAAAAATAGTGCAACTTTTATAATCCTTCTCCTAAGGCAATTATTGATAATGGTCCAGATATCAATTTGAGATTCCATCTAGAGAAAGATTCAAGCATAATCTTTATTTGCCCTCTTTTTTTTCTTAACTGGGTTTCTTCCCTTGATAATATTATTGTAGAGTTCCTAAATATACCAGAGCTGGCATTTCCAAAATTAAAGAAAACTGAAAAAAAGTTGGCATCTGTGGCTCAAAGTCTCTATATGTCCATGTTCTCTGTCTTTGAACACAGCAGCATATTGTGTTATCCATCTTCCCCCAATCTACCCCCCAGTTATTTTTTTCTTAAAAAAAAACACGGATTCTATCAGTTGGAGATCAGCCTGTCCACATGCATACATACACACCTGTCTGTAATGTGTCATGTTAGCCAAACAGAATAGGAAGATTTTTAATTTCCTTTTAGCATCAAGCCGCTATGGGCAAGTCATGAGCAATTTCCTTTACCATAAGACTACTGGAGAAGCAGCTCATTAATTCAAGCTGGAGGTGGATGAGGAAGAGGAGCCCCTGCTTTTTCTACTTTCAAAAAAAAAAAAAAAGTTCAAGTATTTAGTTGTTTATCTGCCAACAGTTTATGATCTCCTTCTACTATTTATTAACATCCTCCTGATGTTTTAGAGAGACCTGTTTCCTTCTTTATTTATGGATGCATCTTATTTCTATTTAATTAGAGGCTATAACAAGATTCGCGGTGTACTGAAATAGCACATTCTAATGTGTTTTGTCCCCACTAGATGGATTCAAAAATAATTCGCAAGGAAATCTTGGCAGATATTACAAACATGGGTGGCATTTGATTTCTTCTTCTATTTTTATACGGTTCACTGGGTGCATCAGCTAAATATGTTATAGAATTAGCAACATGTAAATCCAGACAGATGCTGTCTGTCTTATCCTTAGGCTTAGCAGATATGAGCTGCAAAGGTCTGCACCACCACAAAATCCAAAGAACGTGAGGGCAGGACAAGAAGCAACCAGTGGAAGCTCATTAAAGAAAGATCCAACCTTGAACTAAGGGGAAATTTCCTGAAAGAGAGAACAATTAATCAATGGAACAGCTTGCCTCTTGGAGTTATGGGTGCTCCATTGCTGGACGTCTTCAAAAAAAGATTGTGATGGTATTGGTATGAGTTCTTTTGCTTTGGGCAGGGGGTTGGATTAGAAGACCTCCATGATCCCTTCCAGACCTATGAGTCTATGTAATTCTATGATAAGACGACAGCAAAGAAATGCCCTAAACCTAGTGACCATTTGGATTTTTGCAGCCGAGATCTACAGTTCTTCAAAAGCTGGTGTTTGCTCACCAGTTGCATTACATAAATGGCCTTTGGGCAAATATCTTTAAGATTATGCTGCTGTATAATTCAAATCTGAATAGGATTATAGATTTGCTTTCAGTGGAGCATTTTAAACAATGGAGATGGACTTTAGAAAAGTTTTAGAAGTATTACCTATAATATTCATTTTTTTCATATTAATGATTCCCGTGAGACAAAAATTAAAGCATAAGTGAATGGAGCTTGTATTGATTTTGCCCCAAGATAGACAAACTTTATGTTGTTGTTGTTGTTGCTTTAACCATTTAGTTGTATCTGACTCTTGGCAACTTTATAGGCTAGTGCTCTCCATTCTACCCTGTCAAGCACAGCTTCTTTCTATTGTTGGATGTTCAACTTTGTATCAGATTCTATGCTATCCAGCCAGTATGCTCTTTGCTTGCCCCTTCTTGTTCCACTAACCATTCCTAGCATAATTGTCATCTCCAATAAATTTGCACGGGTGACATGGCCAATGTAAATCAGATGTAGTCTTATAATTTTAGCTTTTAGTGATATGTCTGGTTTTATAGAAGTTTTTATGGCAAAATTTATAGAGGTTTTCTAAATGACTAAAGCGGGCATATTTTGAAGGCAATTCAGTCTGGTAGTATATCAGTGAAAGGAATAATAGGGATTGAATGGATGTTTTCTTCTACTACAGCCGTTCTTTCTTGTAATGTCCAAATACATTGTAGTGTTGAAAGACCTTCCTGTAAAAGAAGTTTGCAAGGTTTTTCAGAAGTATGATTAGAGGAGATGATGAGAACACCTCTTCCTGGCAGATGCTAATGATAATGGATTTAATGGATTCCATTTAAAAAATGGAAATGTACTGTACGTGTTTTTTCTTTAAAAATGTAGTGATGATTTGGGGGTGGGGGTATGGTGTGTCTATAGGTTTTAGTTAAAAATTGCAGTAATGTTGAAATAACAATATGGAGAAGGATTTTTTTTGTATTATTAATTCATTTAATTGGCTGCTTTTGTAAGGAAACATTTTAACATTTTTGCTGTATTGCTTACTTATTTGGATGTTTTGTAAGAAAACAGTGGCCTTTCCATTCACTGTGTGCACTTAAGAACCGGAAAAAAAAAGGAAAAGGAATGTATCAACATTATTGATGTTAGGAAAGTCAGTTTGATTTTCCTCATCTCGTATTTGACTTAATGTGCCATTGCACATTTCTTTTCAGGCTGACACCTTTTAAGAGTAAATACCTGTGTCAGAAACTATGTGCCGTGCTGGTGCCACCACAATAATATGTTATTAGTTTGTTCTGAGTGATGACAGAAAGCGGCAGTTTCCCACAGGTGAGATTTGCCATATTTCTCACCTTTATTGAATAATAATAAAAAAGACTGAATTGGCTTTGCCTCTCACATTTTTGAACTGCTTGTGTTTATTCTGGTGGGGTATGCTGAACCTGTTGAAATGTTTGTTTTGTTTTCAGATATTGCCTTTGGGAAACATTGCTCTTTTGACTATTAGCAATGTAGGAATCATATATTAGTGGCATATGTTAGGTAGTTAGTATTTCAAAATAATGTACTAATAGTTTTCAAATGGTAGAACATTTCCTTGAAGGGCACCAAACTTAGCTACTTTGATTGCCTTTGGCAGAGCATTTTAGTAATCCAAATTGGAAGGGAACAGTTTTGTTGTCACTTCATCACTGTTCCAAGCAACTGATCTACAAACTAGATTATTGATGGTGTTAGTTAAGTCAGGGCACAAGATAACACATTTAGAAGCAGACAAATTTTAAAAAATTGAGAAGAGAGCTAATGTAAACATAGAAAATAATATAGTCGCATACATTAGATTTCCCTGAAATGTTTGGCTTGTAAATTTGCATTAAGGAAATCAGAGCAATTTGTCCCCTTTCTTTACTGGCCTGTTTTGTCTTTTGATGACTGCAGTTGATTTGTAATCTACAGGAACAAGGTAGGGAATAGAAAGGAGAGGACAAGGCTATTCCTGTATCTAGATCAGGAATTTGATGCAGCTCATGTACATCTGAGGACAGATATGAAAGCTGAGACCTCTTCAGAAATTTCATAGAATGTAGGAGGTTATAGTATGTGTCAGGATGGTCATGCCCAGGCCCCTGTGTGCGTGCCCATCCTGCCCTTTCGACTCCATAACTTATTATAAGAATCAGAAATAACGATCACATGGAGAACTGTATACCCATTTAAACAAATCTGGGTTTTGGGATTTGAGCAAAAGAGCAGAATAATAGGGCCAGGAGTCACAGTTTCCTTCCCCTCTATCCCATTCATAAGGCCTTGAGAGGACTGTGATCTATTTGTAGCCATTTGCTTCAATGGAACATGTGCACACACAGTAAATGCCTCTAAATGCAGAGTACAAATTGATATGTGCGGGGTTCCTAATATTTATACTGTATACCTTTTCCTATAAAGACTAAAGCTAGGACAAATATTTGCTTCCTGTGATATTTCAACTCTGGGTTGTTCTTCTCTTTCTTCTTAGTATTTCTTGGTTTTGCTCATATTAATTTTTGTACTCGTTCCTTGTTAGTGTAACAAAGTCTCTAGTTTGTATAAAAAACACTCTTGTTTTTTCCTTGTTTGAAACTCTTGTCTCAACTACCTTGTTTCAAACCTCTTTGAACAAACCAACGTTGCAAACATCTGAATTGTAGCTTTTGAAACTATTGGTATACTGTGCCTTGCTTGAATTTTTTTTTAAAGCATGAAATAAGCTATTGGATGGTTTCAGATTATTGCTGAAAATTATTCTTCTGAAAATTCATCTCTCCTAAAGTGATCTGTTCTTTAATAAGACCTACATGTATGCCCCAGAGAGTAGCTAGAAGAGATAAGAATGCCTTCTTAAATGAACAGTGCAAAGAAATAGAAGAAAACAACAGAACAGGGAGGACCAGAGATCTCTTCAAGAAAATTGGAGATATGAAGGGAACGTTTCATGCAAAGATGGGCATGATAATGGACCAAAATGGCAGAGACCTAACAGAGGCAGAAGAGATTAAGAAGAGATGGCAAAACTACACAGAAGAACTATACAAGAATGAGCTTAACATCCCAGATAACCACAATGAGATGGTCATTGACCTTGAACCAGACATCCTAGAATGTGAGGTGAAATGGGCCTTAGAAAATCTGAGCAACAACAAAGCTAGTGGAGGTGACAGTATTCCAGCTGAGCTATTCAAAATCTTAAAAGACGATGCAGTAAAAGTGCTACACTCAATTTGCCAGCAAATTTGGAAAACTCAACCGTGGCCACAGGATTGGAAAGGGTCAGTTTACATTCCAATTCCAAAGAAAGGCAATGCCAAAGAATGTTCAAACTATCACACCATTGCACTCATTTCACATGCCAGTAAAGTTATGCTTAAAATCCTACAAGCTAGACTCCAGCAGTATGTGGATCGAGAATTACCAGAAGTACAGGCAGGATTTCGAAGAGGCAGAGGAACTAGAGATCAAATTGCCAACATACTCTGGATCATGGAGAAAGCTAGGGAGTTCCAGAAAAACATCTACTTCTGCTTCATTGACTAGGCAAAAGCCTTTGATTGTGTGGATCACAACAAATTGTGGCAAGTTCTTAAAGAGATGGGAGTACCAGACCATCTCATTTGTCTCTTGAGAAACCTATATGCGGGTCAGGAAGCAACAGTGAGAACTGGACACGGAACCACTGATTGGTTCAAAATTGGAAAAGGAGTCCGGCAAGGCTGTAAACTGTCGCCCTGCCTATTTAACTTATATGCAGAACACATCATGAGAAAGGCAAGGCTAGATGAATCAAAAGTTGGAATTAAGATTGCCGGGAGAAATATCAACAACCTAAGATATGCAGATGATACCACTCTAATGGCAGAAAGTGAAGAGGAACTAAAGAGCCTCTTGATGCGGGTGAAGAAGGAGAGTGCAAAAGTTGGCTTAAAACTCAACATTAAGAAAACCAAAATCATGGCATCTGGCCCTCTCAATTCCTGGCAAATAGATGGGGAAGAAATGGGTAGTGACAGATTTTATTTTTCTGGGCTCCAAGATCACCTCAGATGGGGACTGCAGCCAAGAAATTAAAAGACGCTTGCTCCTGGGGAGGAAAGCTATGGCACATCTAGACAGCATACTAAAAAGCAGAGACATCACCCTGCCAACAAAAGTGCGTATAGTCCAGGCCATGGTTTTCCCAGTTGCAAGGTATGGCTGTGAAAGTTGGACCATAAGAAAGGCTGAGCGCCAAAGAATTGAGGCCTTTGAACTATGGTGCTAGAGAAGACTCCTGCGAGTCCCTTGGACTGCAAGGCGTTCAAACCGGTCAGTCCTAGAAGAGATCAACCCCGACTGCTCTTTAGAAGGCCAGATCCTGAAGTTGAAACTCACGTACTTTGGCCACCTAATGAGAAGGAAGGACTCACTGGAGAAGGGCCTAATGCTGGGAAAGATTGAGGGCAATAGAAGAATGGGACGACAGAGAATGAGATGGCTGGATGGAGTCACTGAAGCAGTAGGTGTGAATTTAAATGGACTCCAGAAGATGGTAGAGGACAGGAAGACCTGGAGGAATGTTGTCCATGGGGTCGCGATGGGTCGGACACGACTTCGCAATTAACAACAACAACAACATGTATGCCAACCCAACTTCTTGAGATTAAACAGGTTGTCATGGTTCTGATAAATGAAACCTATCAAAAGAACTTCCAGGCAAGAATTCTTTCTCAAAGAACATTTTATTAGGATACACAGTATTGGCACTACATAGTTGAACCCAAAACTAAATTCCCTTCCCCCAGATGCAAAGTAACAAGTTGCAATTCCCACCCCCATGAAGCAGTCATAAATCACATTCTCCAATTAGCCTGAAGCACAGACTCCTTCTCCAGCTCCTCAGCCGGCCAAAACATTATTGATTTGTGTCCTTGAGTTCCCACAAAGTGGCATTATTATTATGGCTAGCTGAGCTCAAGCATTCACCTCATGCCCCCTTCTACATCTGATTCCTAAACAGCAGAAGCATGCTGAAAGCAAAGTAAAAATGGCTGCTATTTCCCTCAGTTGTCAGAGCGGGAACATCCATTGTCACAGCGTTGACACAGGTAACACTCAGATTAGAATAGAGACAGGGATCTTATTTCTGTGGAATAAACATCCATACCAAACATCCTTTATTAATAATAATAATAATAATAATAATTTAGCCATTTGGCAATCCATAACTTCATAGGAGAGGTCTTACTTTTGGCAAAATTCCTCATTCCTCATTCTGGCCATTGGGGAATTTTTCCCATTAAGGAATTGATTCTCAGCAAGTCATCAGAAGTCTAGTTACTGTTATATCCCATGTGCATGTTCTTTACTGAATCTCAATATCCTTTGAATTCCCCAGGGCCTAATAAAAAGATATAAAAAATAAGGGATGGAAGACAATGTTCTCTTTCTTTTTACTATTCCTTTTCTCTTCTTAAAACCTTTTTACAACTCACTCCTGTTTATCCAGAAATTAATTTTAGTCAGCAGAACATTTTGGACAACAATTAAAGCTGTTTCATACTTCCTAGCTACAGGATCAAAACTACCCAATTTTTAAAGCAAACCTTAAGCATGTGGTCTTGTTGTAATCTGAAAAAAAAATAAGGGCTTTATAGTTTTATTACATATCAATTCTATTTCCATTATCCCATGGTGGGTGGAAAGGAAATAACTATATATTCTTCCTTGAGCTTTTTGTAGTAAATGCAGGATAAAATAATACATAACTAATAAATAGTTTGCTTGTTATAAAAACTGTGTACCATTCTCATCTGAGAATGTCATCTGAACAACCAGATCTGCTTGATTGGAATGGATCCAAAGTTGCTTAAATACAGTCCAGTCATCCTGCAGTTTATATGACAGGACAGGCATCCAGTGAAGTGTTTATTTTGGCATCTTTTTGCATACTTAATGCACGCTAAGCAACCTGTGCACTGTTGACTATCATTTCACAGATATTTTCTTACTTAACATTCTTGCATCCTGTGCTCCCTTCCAGACCCTTCTATGCCTCCCTCATCCAATTATGTTCCCCCTGTACCCTCACATACCCTTGTCCATTGTCCCCAACTTGTGCTGCACTATTGTGCATTCTCCATGAGGCACCTCTTGTACACCTCTATGCACCCCAGCATACTCTTTTGGACTTCTCTCCAGTGCTGCTCATGTACCTGTTTCACCGATTTGCACTTTCCCTGACATGTACCCATGTGCAGCGGTGTGCACAGTTGGGGAAGGATGTGCATGGATGCACATGGGTGAGCAAGAGGCACTCCATGAATCAGAGAGAATATGCAAAGGTATGGCATGAGTTAGGAAGAGTGTGTAGGATACACAGTTGTGCAACAGGTGCCACACAGGTCAGGGAGGGTGAGTAGGAGAGTGACATGGTTCAGGAAAGATATGGGTGTTGTGCAAGTGGCCTGTGTGGCATCAGTGCAGAGGAATTGAGGAGATAGCACAGGTGAGAGCAATTTACCTGACCAGCTTGCAACCTTCCCTAATGGCTTCCCCACTGCTGAACTGTCAGCTTCCCACAACAAAGACTTTATGGAAAGCTGGCAGGGAGTGTTGGCAGTCATGACTGAGTTTACATTTCCTACCAGCTTCCTCACTGACTTGCAGGAAGTTGGTAGGAAGAATTGGAAATGACAAACGGCATTGGAAATGTGATGGTGGCTGCCCATATCAGTGACCACAACTTCCTCAAATTTCATTCCCACAGGTACAATAGTCTTGTAACTAGGTATGTTAGCCCACTTGAGGTATCTTGGTTCAAAAATTGTTGCCCTATGACATATCATTTTGCCCAATTGAATGTTATAAGCAACCAGACAGACACAAGAGTTTTAGTAGTATATAGATTAAAGAAATTGCCCGCAGAGGCTTTGAATGGAAAGCAGCAGGAGCAACAATAGCAAAAACAAAAGCAACTCACAATAACAAAAACATTTCAGCACATTGATAGGTTATTGAATGGTGCTCCGAAGGCAGTAATGTAGGTGTTTGATTCTGCACCTTCATCCTGAGTAGCCATTTTAAAGTGGCCACCTCCAGTCCCAGTGGTAGCCTGGGGTTGGGGCATTGATAGAAGAGATGTCTTCAGAAAAGGGCTTCTCTTTTTCTCCTTCTTTAGCCATAGCTTCTTCAGAAAGCTTCTCTCTGGCCCTGAGGGCTACAATTTCCTGAATAATATCTTCCATTTCTTTAGCTGTTAAGATCTCTTTCTCTGCCCGTAAATATGAGAGCTTTGGAGATGGTAATTTCTCCAACAAAGGCTGTATAGTTGTTAGTTTTATATCATGCAGATCACAAAATTGAGGCATCAGTTTTTCTTCAGCTTCTATAATTTCCTTCCTGAAGTTCTTATCTGATTGGGTTTGTTTTCCTTTTGCTTTATTCCCCTGTTTCTTTTTCATTTTGTCTTCTTCATCTAAGATTTTTTGAGCCACATCTAATATACTTGCCCACTGGGGAGAGTAAGAAAACTTTCTCCATTTTTTTGAAGGCTCCTAAAAAATCAAATATGCAGAGATGGCTGGAAGTATTTGCAACTTTTGTTTCAATTTATTTATTTATACATACATACAAACAACTTAAATGTCATGCAAAGATTCTGAGTGAGTCATTACTTTAAAAAGAAGAAAACACCAATTATAAGAATTTTAGCTATTCATGTCAGGCAGTAAACGTTTCACAGCTGACTTGACTTCCATCCTATCCAAAGTCCTAGGAAACTTTCTGTACATCATCAGGGTAGGAGCAATTTAAATCTCCAGAGAGCAAGCATCTCGGCAGAGGAAGCATATTACTATTCACCCATACATTTGGTTCATAAACAAAAATTTGTTTATGATTTGCTCTTCTGAATGAAAATGTTCCAGCATCGGGAGGCTAAGAGTTCAAGCAATTCCCTTTTCTCTGTAATCTCTAAGCATTGCTGGCTTTCATCATTTCGAATAAAAAATGGAAAATGACTCTATCACATACAAACTACTAAAAAATGATCTGGAGGAGAAGGCCTGCCTTATTTTTTTAAAGTGGAATATCTTTAATAAAGTAGTTAGCCTCACCGTTACAGGAATTACAACACTTTGCAGTAGTTTTTCTTTTTTGGCATTCTTGAGCTCCACAGCTGACTGAGATGCTTGGAACAAATCTGTGAAAAGAAGAATGATCAATGCATAGGATTAATAAATGGTCCCTTGATTAATTGAATGCATTTTTGTGGGTGATCATACAATGAATGAAAAAATGCAAACCAGCATATAAAGTTTAGCTATGCCTCACAGGCATATGTGGCTTCCAAAATTTGTTACTTTTTATGTGACCAAAAAGAAAACACATAAAAATATGACTAGAGAAGAATCATTATTTAATAGGATTATGTAAAGCTCTGGAGTCCTTGGTGCTCTCTGAGTTTGGGTATTTTACTGCAGACATTTCAATACCCAACCTGGTAATATTATTAGGGCACTTGGGCATAGGGCACTGATTATAATGTCACATGATGTTACCTAGTCAGAAAATGAAATTTCTGCATGTAAACACCTAGCTCCAGAGAGCACCAAAGACTCCACTGTTTAACCTTGAGCTACACATATTCTCTTCTATTGGAACCACGTAAAGCCTTTATAAGGATCAATCTGGCCCAAGTGAAGCAGTCTTTTCTTAATGTTAAAGCAATGACATTCTCTAGAAAGCCATGCATGCTTCAAAGGCTGTCCCCCCTATCTGTTTTTCTATAAACAATGCTTTAGTTAGGGCAGCTAGAGAAGAACCTCTGTAAGAATATATGTGAACAAATAGGCAGAGACTGGGTTTGAAGCAGCTGCTTTAATCATTCAAGAAAAAATGCTTCGCTTAGCAGTTTTTTTCAAATGCTTTGTGGGGCCCTGTTATTTAATCCTATGTACATACAAATAAAGTGACATTAAATTAAAAGTTGTCATTGACTGTTTTGATAAAAGAAAATAATGCAAGTACTTTTGTTTCTACTTGGAAACCGCTTCTGGTCTTTGTGCTTGAGGTGGAAAAATGATACTATGATTTTGAGTTTTACTGATTAGAATGATTTGTTGATATAGAAATGGCCAGCTCGTACTGGTATAGAAATGTAAAAAGTTGAGATTCGATCTTAATGTCTTATTTTACTGCAACAGAGGGAGTTGGAAGTCAATGTCTTTTGTTTCTTCCCCTCCTCTTGTCCACCCTTTTTCCTTTTCCCTTTCCCTATTGTTGTCCCTTACTATTTGCTTTTGCATTTTTATATTTTATGTTATAAATGAATAAAAGTATATAAAAATGTCATTTCCCAATACACTGCTTGTTCAGGATATGCTATCGAAAGGCTAAATATAATGTCTGATCTGAAAGAAAAATAATTCATGTCCTTGGTTCACTGCTACCACATTGGAATCTTAAGGCAACACAAGGTTAAAGATTACTTCATTATGGTGACCATCATCTTTCATGACTGCATGTAGCTGTATCCACCTTCCTGCAAACAAGTGTTCTTTCTCTACTTACACCTCCCCAATGCTCCTCAAATCTACTCTGGATTCCTGAGGGATCCTCTTATGCAGTTTTAGAGTGCTAGAGCTGCCAAGGAAAGCTAGGGCAATTCTCATGGATGAAGTAAAAGTCTCTACACCCCCAATATAACCTCAGTGAGCAGCTTTGATGAGGATGCAGGCACAATGCCCTGGCAGTAGAAGATCTATTCTTATGCCACGGCCATAACAAGCCAGCATTTGGCAGCAAAGCATTCAGTGATCCCTTTCTGTGCTCTTTTCACATAAATGACTCATGCCTCCAACCCACAAAGAGTTTGCCTGGTGACAGCCCAGATTTTTTTTTTACAAGTCAGATCATGGGCCCAACAGGGGTCCTAACATTCTGAGTCACTTAGGTTTTCAACCAAAAATTGTTTTTGGACCTGCCAGAATGTGTTGGCTAAAGTTTTACACTAAATTTGTCAAACATCTGATTTTCAAGTTGTGTCCAGCTGTGATGACACATAGCAGTCTCTAAGCATATGGTTCTTCCTACGGGCAGCAAAAGGAGCTGGTTCCAAGGGAACTGATCTTTGCTTCTTCACTTTGCTCATCTTAGGATTTTTTTTTCCTGTGCCCCTGTATCTACAGAGGAGAGCAAAGCAATCCATCTTGGTGCTAATGGATGGACTGAGCAAAATATCCAACAGACGTAACAAAACGTACGTAGAGGGGAAGACTGCATATGCATTTGACTGATAATAGCAAATGACTTTCTAACCAGCAAAAATGGATTGTAGTACAGCTCTGAAAAATAATTGAGAAAACAGACTTCATCCATTGGCTTTGGGTGTCTTCTGAGATGCAAAGGCAAACTCTCATTAGCACAGAGATTTCTACACTACAGGTAGTCCTTGACTTATGATCATGCATTTAACGATTGTTTGACATTATGATGGCCTTGCAAAAAATGATAACCTGTCCCCAAAAGTTATGGCCATTGCTGTCACAAATCAGGCACTTGGCAACTGGCTGGCATTTACAACAGTTGCAATGTTTTCTAGTCACGTGTTAGTGATCTGTGAATTTCCCAACCAGCTTTTGACAAGTAAAATCAATCGGGGAAACCAGATTTGCTTAATGAGTGTGTGATTCACTTAACAACCATATGGTTCACTTAATGACTGCAATAACTTTGTGTCTGGTCACACAATGACTCTCTTAATGACCGCATTGCTTAGCAATCAAAATCATGGTCCCCACTAGGGTCGTAAGCTGAGGACTTCCTGTATTAAGATACATTCAAATAAAAACCATAAGCAAACTCCTGCACAAGCTTTGTTCCTTTTCATGTCAAGAGGTGCGTTTACATTCATGTGTAGCACAAGCTCTTCCACAATTCTTTTCAATTGCATATTACAAGCACTGCCAGAATTTCTCTGCCGAAATGTCATTTAATTCTATCCTGCATGTGTTACAGTTTTAAAGCTCAGATTGAAACAGCTCCACTGTATATGGAAGGGAAAGAGCCTCTGCAGAAATAAACCCATCTGTACAGCTATTCTTCTAAAATCATTGATACTTACCTAATGGCAAAGATTGCTTCCATGTCCAAGGAATTTGTCCAGGATCTTTTTTTTCCCCCTTCCTCATTATCGTTGAGATGCAGCTTTGCCTTGATCTATACTTCTGTCACTTCAAGAGTGGAGCTTTAGTTTCCTTTAAGGTTGTTCATCCACAAATGCATATTTAAAAATTTAAAAACATACAAGCTAGGTGATGTATTACAGTGTTTATAGTATATTCATATTTTCAATAGTTATTGTATTACAAATTCGTGATCAAGTAGAATGGCATGTTCCAGTTCTGATTTCAAGGACCACAAAGCATGATAATTTTACTTCACCCTCTTTTCCATTTCCCTTGGCAATAAAGAATCTTGTGACAAATTAACACTTTTTATTATAGTAAAAAAGGTTTCACGGACTACAACTCTTGTTAACAGATGCAGAGACAAGACTATCTGTCTTGAAATATCTAGTTTATTTATTTATTAATGTATTTATTTATTTATTTATGAGACTTATATACCGCTTTAAGTGCAAGCACTCTCTAAGCGGTGTACACCAGTAAGCAATGTATATATATATTTACCTTGCCCCCAACAATCTGGGTCCTCATTTTACCTACCCCAGAAGGATGGAAGGCTGAGTCAACCTTGAGCTGGTAAGATTTGAACCGCTGACCTGCTGAACACAGTCAGCTAAAGTGGCCTGCAGTACTGCACTCTAACTGCTGTGCCACCTCGGCTCAGGTATATGCAGTGTATATGCTACAAATTAAGGTTGATGTTCAGAAGATAATAAAAACAAAACAACAACAACGATGATGATGATGATGATGATGATGGAAGCTCACCTTTTTCTGAAAGGAAAGAGCAGAAAAAGTCAACAGCATGGGGAGCTGTTGCCATCCTGCTGCAATACCAGCTTTTCCCTCTCCAGCTAGCTAACATAAGAAGCAGTTTTGAGGGATCATTTTGCTGTGAGAGGAGAAAAGAAGAAGCAGACAAAACTTCAAGACAGGGAACATAAAGTAAAATAAGAAAACCCCCCTAGCATAAATCAAGAAAAAAACAAAAACATAGACAAACATAAATGAAAACCACCAGTCCAAGTGGAGATAGAGGCAGTCAGTCAGTCAGTCAGTCAGTCAGTCAGACAGACAGACGGATGATAGGTATAAAATGCAAGCAATCTGAACTGGAATGGTAGCTTTTGAATTCACCTGGACAGCTAAGATAATCATTACTATTTTCTTCTCGAACTCTCAATTTCTATTTTATTTTATTATTTTATTTTATTTTATTATTTTTTTTAAAAAAATTATTTGCTGCCCATATCAAAACAATTCTGGGCGACATTTCTGTTAGAATATAAATTCAAGAGAAATGCTAACCTTTTTATGAACTGTTGTGAGAGGGGTTTTGGGGAGAAGGGGTAAATGAACAAATAATTAGCCCACCCCCCCACCCACCCCAAAATATACCAAGGAACAAAAACTAAAACTGAGAAAAAAAAGAGTACACGGAATCTCAATGGAACGGCACTTTGGTTGGCTATACATGGAGTTGGATTCAGACTTTAAATGAATGTGCCCCCCCCCCTTAGCATGCTCCAGTGTTCTCATACAGTCAGAGAGTGACATGGTTTTGGTCCTCTAGAGCAGCTTTTTAAAGGATACCTGGGATTTGAGGTTGGAGGGAGAATTGGTGAAGCACCACTGTTTGGAATCTCTTCTGCAAATGGAGCCTCTTCTTTTTGCAGAGGGCATGCCTAGATCCAATCCATCATTATTTTCAAATACATGTAGTGCATTTACTGTTATAAGGAGGAAGTCAGTGCACCTGGGCATAACTTTAATGAGAAGTTCATCAATGGAAATAAGGAGTTTATTTTTAAAAACAAAACAAAACAAAATAAAATCAAACATCTGAAAACGTTGATATATTTTAATGGAGTGCAACTTGCAATTCTGGAAATTTGTTTTGCATTTTATGTTGTACATATTGTACTAGTAGGTTAGATATTATTAGTTGGTTATCCAACTTATATTGTAGCCTTAATTAATTAATTATTTCAGAGTGGAATCCTTCCAGCCCTAATTTTAAGAACCTCCTCGAAGAAATTTAGAACTTTGGTAACAGCTATTAGTCCCTTCCAAATAGCCTTTTGCTCAAGAGGGAGAGAAGTTTAAGAAAAACAGGCTTGTCAGAGAAATAATATATGTTCTTATTTATCTTTGGCATCATTCATTGCTTATTCCAGCACACCAAGATTGAATGCTATGACATTTTTTTATAGGTGCACAAGCCTTGGACTTTACAAGTACAGAAAAATATTCAATGTAAAAAAAAGTTCTGGATATAATGCAGAAGCTGGCATTGCAGTAATAGAAACTATAGCAGACAGCAAATTAGGAATGAGAAAGCTAAATGGTAGTAAGTATCTTGGTCATAAGATCTTTCCTACCTATAGTCCAATTTTGTTACTCTAGAAAAAGACAACAATGATCAGGTTAGAAAGATACAGAGCTCAAGGCTGAGTACTCATGTAATAAACTGAAATTACATGTGGACAGGATGGAGTTGTTACTGATATTAGGACTCACAAAAACCATGAATCCTGAAGAAAAGAGACCAGGGCTTATTTAAATGTTCTCTTTATAGAACCACCTTTAAGTTCACAAGTGACACATAGCGGTCCCTCATAATACCTGTGTTAAAACTACTTCACTGGTTGATAGCCTTCTAAGCCTAGTTCAAAGTCCTCATTAAGTTATATAAGGTTTTCATAACTTAAGCCCAACCTACTTACAGGACAGTGTACTAATGTATAATCAAAAGCTGTGCAAGTTATCCGTGGGCTACTTTTTTCAAGGCCCACTGCAGAGGTCTTTAATTTCCTCTGTAGTGGAGATTATATAATGGAATAATGCTGAGTTGAAGTAAGTTGTTTAATCACTGCTAAGAAGGGAATTGAAATAATATTTGATCATTTGAGACTTTTAAAACATTAGTGTTTTGTTATCTGCTTATTGTTTTAGTATTTGATATTTTCTTTTTTCTTTTTGTTCACAATGATGTTATAATACTTTGCTTAATAGTTTCATTAAATCAGGTTTTTATAAAGTAAAAAAAAAAACACCGAACAGAACAGTATAAAGAGCTGGAAAAGATAAGAAGTGTTAAAGTTGCACAAAAAAAGGAGAAAAAGAAAATAGATAATTAAGGAAACAGTTTTCAATCTTGTTTGCAGCAGTTATAAAAACATTTAAAACCATTTCTCCTCTTCAAAATTATATAACACGGTTCTCTTTTTCCCATATTCTGCCATTATTAATCAGTAAATCCAGAATCATCAGTTCATTTTTATCCATTTTCAGCTCATAATGTTTATATGATACTTTTGACTATATCTTTATGAAAAATATTCAAGCATATGGATACCAATAGATTTATAATCCCCTCATGGCTATGTGTCTTAGCAGGATTTAGTGGTGGAAAGAAGAGACTCTTTTCAATAAAAAAGAAAAAAAGACATGCATGTTGAGCCTTTGGAGAGAAACAGTATTTATAGAGCACTCATGCATCTCTTAGAAGAAATTAATTTGCTGTAAGTATCAGAGAGAGATGACAAGTTGAGATAGTAACCATACTTCTGAAATAAGGCCAAGCATTTTCACCAGCAGAATTTGAAGTGAAATACTGCTATCAAATCTTAATAATATAGAAATCTTCACATATCATTTTAAATTATAGATACTGGGCAGCTGGGTTATGAAATCAGCACTGAGGTTTCTAAAATTTTAAAGGTAAATTTATAAAAGTCTATTATTTGCCATGCATTAGCAGTAGAATTTTTCCAAGGCAGAGAAATAAATGTTCATTGAAAATGATTAGAGTAAGGAGTGTAATAAAGAGGGAGAAAGTAGTGTTATTAGAAGAAATAAGAGAACATAGCATGCTTTCTAGAGGAAATTACTTTTTACATTATCAGTCTGCCTAATGAGATAGAAACTAGAGATTAATAATGCTCAGATTCAATGGCGCTTATATATGCTGGGTTTTACCATCCCTACCTCTGCATTTTGGGCAGAAATAAGCTTAAAAGTAATCAGTTCAATCAGTTCCTGGAATATGTTAGCCTCTTTTATTGTATGTCAGCTGGTATTTAGCCAATCAGGGTTTTCTCATATGTGATGTCACAATGGGGATTGTCAGCTATTGGGAGGCAAGCTTATCCCACATATAGTTTATCTATTGTTTGAATAGATGCATCATTTCTAGTGAGAATAAATATCAGAAAAAAGGTAGCTGATGATTAAGTACCACTACTATGAACAATAGTTCCCAGGTATTGATGTCAGGCTGGATCCATTTCCCCCCCTTTTTTGAAGATGGGAACCATATTGGCCCTTTTCCAGTCATCTGATACTTATCCGGTGCTCCAGGATCTTTAAAAAGTATAGGTCAATAGTTAAGTTCCTCATATAGTTTAATTATTAAAGAAGTAAAAAATATGGTACAGAATCATCAAATTTGGCCAAAAGGCCAAATGTATTATGCCATATAATCTGAAGTAGCATGTTTCTGCATAGATTCTTGTTCCTTTTCTCCCATAATGATTGCCTATCTCTAAGCTCTAATATACAAGACAGCAGAAATGAGATGTGACTGTATATAACCTGTAGTCTTAGCAGCATACAGTAATTGGGAAGTGGAATTTTCAACTTCTTTTCGAATTACATTGTAATGCAAAGCAAACGGACCTAGCAGGAATGCATTTGTGCCATTTGACACAACTGATCCATGTAGGGTCTCCGTGGTTTGTTTAGAACAATTTTGGTGCTTAGGACTGAATACGAGAGGAACAAAGTATTTTAAACCTCAGGATAAATTGCTCCAGAGCATATGCAGAGAGCCTTTCTTTTATTGATAGAATGCTTCCTTATCTGTTCACAGCTTATTGGGTATGTCTAGTTTAACGAAGAGAAGGATGAGGGGGGACATGATAGCAGTGTTCTAATATCTCAGGGACTGCCACAAAGAAGAGGGAGTCAAGCTATTTTCCAAAGGGCCTGAAGGCAGGACAAGAAGCAATGGATGGAAACTAATCAAGGAGAGAAGCAACCTAGAACTAAGGAGAAACTTCCTGACAGTTAGAACAATTAACCAGTGGAACAACCTGCCTCCAGAAGTGGTGAATGCTCCAACACTGGAAGTTTTTAAGAAGAGACTGGACAGCCATTTGTCTGAAATGGTATAGGGTTTCCTGCCTGAGCTGGGGGTTGGACTAGATGACCTCCAAGACCCCTTCCAACTTTATTATTATTATTATGGATCATCGCACAGTCAGCCAGATGTTCAGACTGGATTTGGCATTTTGTCTACCTATCGAATCCTTACCCAGGACCTGGGATAGACAGATGTGGATGTTTGATGGTATTACAGATATCATCGCAGGATGGAAGCAGTTCCTAGTAAGGCCGCCTTTTGCAATTGACTAATAGCGAATTTGTCAATGCCAATGGTGTTCAAATGGTGCTCCAGTTGTTTTGGGATTGCACCCAAGGAGCCTATCACTGCCATGTCCACTATCCAGACTTTATTGTCTTTCTTATCGACAATTGTTAAGTCTGGGGTGTTATGTTGCAGGTGCTTGTCTGTTTGAATTCAGAAGTCCAAGAGCAGTTTAATTTTATCATTTTCTATGACTTTCTCTATTTTATGATCCCACCAGTTTTTGCTTACAGGCAAATGATATCTTTTGCAGATCTTCCAATGTACCATTGTTGCTACTTTGTCATGCCGCTGCTTGTAATCAGTTTGTGCAATCTTCTTGCAACAGCTTACCAAGTGGTCCACTGTTTCTTCAGCTTCTTTGCATAGGCGGCACTTACTGTCTGTTGCTGTCTTCTCAATTTTGACTTTGTATGCATTTGTCCTTAAGGCTTGGTCTTGTGCAGCCAGAATTAGTCCCT